GAGATAGGTTCATTTGTTGCCAAACAGACAGTTGAGTAGGCATATAGCTATGATATAGGTTAATTTGCAATACAGCAGACAGTTGATTAGGCATATAGTAATGCAATAGGTTAGGTTGCAATACAGCAGACAGTTGAGTAGGCATATAGTAATGCTATAGGTTAGGTTGCAATACAGCAGACAGTTGAGTAGGCATATAGTATAGGAAGTGCTGTGGATCTCCTTACCATAGCCCTATGGCTATGGTAGCAATACTTGCTGTTTGAGGCTCTGTATAGTGTGGAGGGATCTCAGCAACTTCTCCTTCAGCAAGTGGTTCCTGGAGTAGCAGGGCTGTCGGTTTGATCAGCGTCCTGCTTCAATAATAGTGGGACGCCGATCAAACGGCGGACCGCGGCTTTATGCCGACTACTCGAGTGAGTGGGCGGAGTCTTGCGGCGCACCTGCGCAGTTGCGCGTACTGCTCATCGTCCCGGCCGAGGGGCGATACGAGTATCACAGTATGCTTGTAGGACCACCATGACTCTGAAAGGTTTGTACATTTTCTGGACCACCCTGACCCTGAAAAGCTTAAACATCAGGAGGACCTTAATGACCATGAAAAGCTTATATGTTTCTTGGACCCCAATATAAATTTTTAGACCCACTGTGACCCTGAAAAGTTTGTGCGTTTGTAAGCTCACCACGACCCTGGAGAGTTTGTATGTTTGTAGGCCTCTACATGACTCTAGAAGGGGTTTGTACATTTGTTAGACCACCATGACCATGGAAAGTTTATATGTTTGGAGGACCCCCCCATGACTCTCTAGTAGGTTTTTTACCTTTTGTAGGCCCACCATGACCCTGGAAAGTTTATATGTTTGGAGGACCCCCCCATGACTCTAGAAGGTTTGTACATTTGTTAGACCACCATGACCCTGGAAAGTTTGCATATCAGTAGGACCTCCATGACCCTGCAATGTTTGTACCTTTGTAGGCCCACCATGACCCTGACTGATGCTCCCTAGATAAGCCTGCCTGGAGAACTTTGATGACCCAGCTTATAGTTTCCTGGACAATCGGTACTATGTTCGTCACAAGAGCATCTACTCTTCCTTCACACGTAGAAACTCAGGCCAGATATTTGATTTCCCTCCTCCAAAGTGAGGCAGTTGGGCAAACATTGAAGCCAGTGGCGGAACTACCGCCGGTGCAGGCGGTGCGGACGCACCAGAGCCTTGGGGCTCTATGGGGCCCAGCGCCGGATCGGTACCCAGCGGCCAGCGGGCCCCCCATCTCTGCGCCGAGAGTGTCGGATCATCCGTTCATCCGAAGCTGTAAACCTGTGTATGTATAGTTCTATTGTTGGCAATGTTCTAAGTGCAGTACATTGAACAATACAAAACTAGCTCACAATCAATGTACTAAGGGATTTCTTTTTCTGAAAAACAGAAAACAAACTAAGACTGAAGCGGGAGATTAAATTGATGTTAAAAGGCGAGAATGCGGACGTATACCAGCAGGTGCCTGAAAGTGGAAGTAGGCGTCTAGATCTATAGAACGACTCTTCTCATTAAAGAAGATTTGCACAGGTGATTCATGTGTCATCGCTCCTTGTTGTCACGGGGGAATGTTTCCTCCTGCACAGAGCTCTATTG